TCAAAAAATATACAAAGACTTTTATGGCAGCTGAAAATATTGTAATATTAAATAGTTATAGCAAAAACAAAAATAACCTCTAAAAATAGGGTTAAAAAGCTAGTTTTCGATATTTTCGCTATTTTTCCGGGATTCTCGATACGCCATTCGATAGAGCACCAAAAAACATACTAAGGATTTTAATTACAACCCAAAATATTGTAAAATAAAATAGTTATGCCAAAAACAAGCTAAATTCGAATAGCTGCCGAGACACTATTTTGATTGTATAAATTTTAATATTGATTTTTTTGCAATTCCCGGCCAGGGGATAGTAGCTGGGACCTAAAGCTACCCATTTGTGGCCTTAAAAATTTTTTGGGACCTTCCGGCTGGGGGGGGGGGTTAAGTAAATTCTTACCAAACCGAACTTTTTGGGGCACCCTGTACAGGGTTTCTCAAATACAAACGCCCCCACTAACTCGACGCAAAAGCTCCGGAGCGGAACGTTAGTTACATAATTTGCAAACCCTTCTCACGGCGAGTTGACAACAATCTGCGAAAACCTGTTTTATTTAATAAAAAAACATGGCTATGAAGGTTGTTGCAAACTCGCCATTTCAAGGGCTTTCGAATGGTGTAGCTATCGTTCCGACCCGATGCTTCTGCGGCGAGTTGCAGTGGGGTGTATTCGATACTTTTGCAGGGCATCGGCTTAGACACTGTCTTCTGCGATGTGACTGGCCACCCCTGGCATCCCGAGAAAGGTTGCAAGCAGATGACGCGCAATGTCGATTGGAATAACGAGTGGAGCGTGGGCCTCGTGGAAGAGATTGTGAGCAAGCAAGGCATGCATACCTTTGTGTTGTACGGTACGTTATTCGATTTCTGTTTAGAAGTAGGACTAGGAGCAATTAACCTCCTCTTTTCGACGATGTACTCAGAATTTTGATAAAATACAAGTTTAGAAAGTGAATTCCGATTTTGGTCTTGGTGGTCGGTGAGGGCTAGAAGGGCTAGCAAAATCCTACCTTATATAATTTGGTCGCGTATCTTTGTCTGTGTGTGTGTGCGGAGGTCAGTTTCGAGGCCCGATTTGAGGGCCTTCCCGTGTCCAAAACGCCCCAATTTTTCGTCACTGGGGGGAATCGACCCTCCTCTTTCCGATGGCGTTTTCAGAATTCCGGTAAAATACAAGTTTACAAAGTTAAAGGCGATTTTATTCATTTTTTGGGGTCCGGGAGGGCTAATTTGCATATTGTGAAAAAATACAAATTTCCTCATTCTTGCAAGTTGCACTCGCGGGTTTGGTCGGGACAGGGAAGGGGGTCCGTCGGGCCTGAGCTATCGCAAAGTCAAACTTTTCATGCAAAGGCCGCATTCCAGCGCCCAAGGCCCGCGAAGCGGGTTTGGGCGCTGGTCCCGAAAAATAAAAATATTTGGTTCCTCAGGATTCGCGGAGGGGGAACAGTTTTTTATCGCGGTCCGGCTTGACCGAGTAATTGAATATAAAATGTCTTTTTAAAGCTTTTAGCACGTTTGACTACGGTTTACTTTACCCCCCTCCCCCCAGCCAGAGGTTGTAGGCTCAAATTCAAACTCTTAGTATATTTTTCGACGCTCTATCGAATGGCGTTGAAAAATCCAAAAAATAGCAAAAATACCGAAAACTTTGAGACCCTTCGGCTGTGGGGGGGGGGGGGGGTAAAGTAAACTCTTACCGCACGTTTTGATTGTATTGAAATCGAAAAACTTTCACAGACGGTTAGAACATTTTTTGAAAAAGTCGAAGATTTGGTCATTTTGGGACGAAAAATCAATCTTTTGACCTAAAATAAAATAAAATTTTTTGTTGAAATTTGTAAGGATTTATGCTTAGGAAAAGCTAGCTACAAACAATGTGAAAACGTCCGTTCCGTTAGTCTCCGTTAGTTAGTGAAAGGTAAAGAATCCGTTAGTTAACAAAAAAGCTTAAGTGCAGTTTACACCCACCCCCCTCCCCCCGCCCCCCAGCCGACCCCAAGAATCCTGACCAAGCGCGCCTAGAAGTAAAAGGAATTTAAACATATGTTCTCGAATATTGAAAAAAAACGAAAACGGCTGGCCCTCTCGCCTATTCACGAGCGTACGATAGATACAAACACGACCCTGTGTTTACAGCATGCCCCCGGAGCTGGAGGGAGTTCGTCTCATTCTGCCACACCATACAGGGACTCGGTATTGTTTTAGTTGTATTTATCTGTATCCCAAGCCCCGATTTATAATCAATAGTCAATATGAAATAAAAAATTATAATTGCTTAAAATCTTTGAGCTGTTTTGGTAAGTGCATGCATTCTTCGCGAAAACCAAGAATTTTGGAGAATTCGAATATTTAAGATAAATTTTTCTTTGCAGCAGCCGCACGAATGAAGACGATCGGTTGCTATCGATACGGGTGGAAACGTGCGGGCTCATCTTTTTGCTGTAAGTTTGGGATTTGCCGAAATTGGCGGGGGAAGCGGATACAATTCAAGAGGGGGGCATAATTGCCTATTTTCGACATGAAACCTAAGTTTTTGTTGGAAAATTTTTTTGTACTTTTGTTATACTAAGAATTTTAATTTGAGCCTAAAATAATGTAAAATAAAAAAAGTTATAACCAAAACATTCCGGCTGTGGGGGGGGGGGGGTTTAGTCACCCGTAGCCGGGGAAGCCATGTTTTCCTTTATTAATTTTTACTATAGCCTCGGCAAAGTCGCCAAAACAATGTTCTTCAGATAACGCGACGGCGGTTTGGCACGATCTCGGGACTTGGCCCGAGAAGCCGATCGAGTTGGACGTGGCGGCCAGCGCCAGCATCCAATGGCTCGTCAAATACTACCTGGATAGGGTGGGCTATGGCAAGGTCGAGGGGTGGCATTCTGGCCCCATAAAAAATAAAAACCGTTTTTATAGCAATTTTCTAATTTTCTAGATATAAAGCAATTCTAAGATTCTGGGAAATTTTTCATTTTTGGTTAAAAATGTATCAAAAAATTACCAAAAAAGGCAAAAAATTTTGAATTTTCCAATTAAAAATACATTCTGTCACTTTATCGCAAGGAAAAACCGATAAGAAGGCTATAAAAATGCACTATACGTGCTAAAAACCCGCGCCCCCCGCTAACACTCTAGTGCCGTTTTTACTAGGTCTAAACGTAGAAACTCAACTAATGTGTAAAATACCAAATTTTTGACGGGTATACGAAAATACGCATTTTCGACCAAACTTAGTCTTTTAGAGAGTTTCATAAACAATACTGCAAAAATATGTTTCAAAATATAATGCCCGATATTGAAAAAGAACCTTACTGGGATTTCAGGGGAAATCGCACAGTGTCGGCCACGAATGGACCGTGGCTCGCCCGAAGGATTTCAAATACAATGTAAGCATGCAAAAGTTCGTAATGAGGCAAATGTGGTTCAGGAAAGCTGGATACCCACGACGACAAGCACCACCACCACTACGACCACCACCGAGCCGGAACCGACGGAGAGTGAAGAAGACAAACTGCGCCACCAGCTGGCTATCGAGCAGGCCGAGTACATAGCGATACGACTTGGGATTTGGCACAATTTAACTAGATTTTAAAGGGAAAACAGGCTAGAAAATTTAGAACGCTCTTTCAATGGGTTTTATGTGTTTTTGATTGCTAAAAGGTTTAAAAAATTTTGAAAAATCGAATTTTTACCGTTGTGGCAATTTTCCATACAATTTTGCCGAAGTAGTCGAAAATTTCGAAAATTTTGATTATTTTTTGCTATAGTGTTTGTATCTGGAAAATTTGGGCAAAGGGTTTTTATTTTCTTTCTTTTGGGGTCGTAGAGAGTCACAGGGAAAATGTTGGTTCCTCCCCCCCCCCCGCTAAAAACCCGCCCCCCCGCTAACAGTCAAGGACCGACAAAAGCTAAAGACTCTGCAAAAAATTACTTCCTTTCCAGCGCGGCCTACTACCGCTTCATGCTGCTGTTCATCAGCTTCGCGGTGGCGGTGGTGATTCTCGGCTCCTCGCACTACATCAAGTACCGCACCGTGGTCAAGGCGCAGCGGCTGTGTGCGTTTTTGCCTTCTGGAATTGAACGCCTTCGTGACCTCCTCACCTCCTGATAAGCAAACTTTTCAGATGGCCCCCACCCGACCGTCAACAAAACTCCGCCCAACACGCCAGCCCCGAAGCCGGAAGAGCCGCCGAAGTCCGTCTACGTTCCGCCCTCCTCCAATGATACCCCACTCTAGGATTGGCGACTACAACAAAGATATCGACGCCTGTTTTTTTTCTCTGTAGTGTAGTATATGCTGTGTTGAGTGTATTGTATATATTGTGTTCTTTTTTTCTGATTCACGTCACTAAAGTAGTTTCTGAATAAAGTACACACAACACATTGTTGCCAAGATCAGTACCTCGTTCGGCTGCGAATCGACCAAGAACAGTTTCGCGCAATAATCGAAGAAGTGTGGGCTCTCGTACCGTCGCGGCCGCTGGCAATTTTGCCAGAAATCACAGAGATCTCTCAAAAAGGGCTTTGATTTGGCACTTACCTTAAATAACACAAAAACAATTTTGAACCGGATGAAACCGTGATTTTCAAAAACTCGACGCGAAAGCTCCAGCCTGTTTCGTCTCATAAGGGCATTTTGCCAAAAAATTCACCTCAAAGCCCGTCGATTTTTTCAACCTTCGTTGTTCATTTGTCTTTCTTCCATTTCTGTCTCTGTTGCTGGTTTTCTCTGTGCACGCAGATTGACGGTGTGGTGTGTACGCGGTAGTACTGAGCTGCGAACCGGGACTTGAATTTTCGACCTTTGCTCTCATGGGTTTTTTTGCGTGTTTTCTTCAAATTAGGGCATATCGACTTATCACGTTTTTCGACTATCATCTTCCTTCCATGCATAGGGAGCAACTTTGAACTCCCAGGTTCCTTTAACAACCTTTATTCACACCACAAAAACCGGGATTAAAATGGACTGAATAACAAGATTATAATTGATAGAAAATCTAGGCAAAGGCGAGCAAGAAGATGAAGAGGTAATAGGGGAAGATGTGATAGGTGGTTCCGATGGAGACGACGGGCAACGGCGAGGACATGTTCAGGACGTCTTCTCGCGGCTCTAGAGTAGCTTCCGCCATGTCCTTGAGTGTTATTTCATCCCAATCGTTACATAGTGGGCCTTCGCATCCGCAGCCCATCATGAAACCTGGAAAAATTGGCTTTAAACGGGACCAAGAGTAGCTTGATGAGTTCTGCTAGGTTCATTTCAAAAACATGCCATTCGTGACTTCCCAGGTATATCTGGGCGAACCCACCGTCGTCTTCGCGGTGGACTGTACATTTTGGATCTTCTCCTTCCACGCAGAACCTCTCGATTAATGGAGGACTGGTAGGGTCATCATGGAATTTGACGTTCATTTGGCAGTACTGGCCCGGCACCCCGCAGCGTCCCTTCTCGTGCGTCGTTTGCCTCGACCATTCCTAGGCAACACATCCTATCCTATTAGTGAGAAAAGTATGTATGTTTTCTGTAATGAGGATTTCTCGGCCGTCAGGCCGAATTACCGGCTGATTTTTTGCATGGAGTTGGAGAAACACATTTGTCAGTGATTCATTTTTTGTATGGTGAGATTCGTTCATTTGACGATTTTACAACAAAAATAGTGAAAAATCCTTAACATTTCATTTTGCCCAAAAAAGGTATTTCCGGAGGTTTTCTCGGCCGCTAAGAGGAGTTGGGCTCTTATTTTTGGAGGCTGAGTGGTAAAATCAATTCTCCCGATACTGTTTTTTTTTTGGATTTTGCCAAATTCCTTAAAATAAAGTTAAAAGGTCCGTAAAGCGCACGTTCAGGGAGGGGCCGTGTACTCGTCCCAACGTGTACACCCTATGGACCTAGGGACCGCGCGCCCTGCCTGCCCATGCCGTGGGAGGCAATTTCCCTCCTTTGCGGCGTGGGGCGCCCCTCATCCCCTCGCCATTATAGCTGTGGCTGACTGGTATTCATCCGCGCCTCCGAGCGGAGGGTCCGGGTTCGAGCCCCGGCCGCGGCGATAATTTTGGCTTTTTTCCAAAAAAAATCCCTGAACGTGCCCTTTAATAAAATGGCCATAGTCCCGTGGTGTCCGCGCAATAACTCGAATACCAGATGGAATTTTGGCAGTAATTTGGTCCACTTTGTATTCGATAGTAGGGATCAAGCGCATCTTATTATTTTTACAAATTTTCGGTGGATTCAGACTCAAAAAGAGAATTTTGTAGAATTTGTAAAAAGAGAATTAATTTTCTTCTCTTTAAAATTTCTCTTTATAAAACCATATAGGCTGACGATAAAATGTGGTATTTCTAACCTTGCCACCCTCACGGCAGCCGGGCAGCAGCGGAGATCTTGGGGGTTCGGTAAAGTTCGAGGCGCAATACAAGCAATCAACTGCCACGGGGGAGACGGGTCGCGGCGGCGATGGCGATGGAGTCGGCGAGTAGGCTGCTACCGTGGCCTTCAATTCATCAAGGCTCCCCGTGTTGCAGAGATCCTTGTCACAAGCACACCACCAGATTTTACCTGGAAAAGAATGTTGAAGTGTGTGCCATAAAGATAGGGGAATGAAGTGTTTATCCGTTTTCTCGACCGTCTTTAATTTCCGTGAAAAACCAAGTAATAGGTTTTATAGCCCGAAAAAAACGCGTATTTTGGTCTAATTAAAACCTCTTGACAATAAAAGATCACGTTTTCAGAAGCGATCCTACTATATATAAAAAAATAGTGTCTGTGTGTGTGTGCCACTTTGCATGCAACTTCCGTCAGGTTGTTCCAGTCGTATCTCAAGTAGGAGAGTAGTTACGGGCCTGTTTGATACGTCATTAGGAGCGTAATGGTCTGGAGATGACTGCACGCATATCAGATATATCAAAATCTCTTATTTTCGACATTAAATTTTAGTTTTTGTTGAAAAATCCGAGACCCTCTTTGTTAGGAATCAATTAGCATACACCGGAAGTGGCGGTAGCCTATATAAAGGAGCAGAACGCGCATTTTTCATTTTTTTCAGCCTCGGTGGGGCACAATTATGCAAAATGAAGAACATCATGGGATGAGGCGGGGCCAGGGTTGAAAAGTCGCGAAGCGGCTTTTCAACCCTGGTTGTATAAAAAAAAAGGAAAAACACAAGTGGCAAAATGATAGGGGATTCATTAACATATCATTTCCATCAACTTTCTTTATGAATAGTGGATGCTAACTGGATTTTGAAAATTTTGACTGATCACTTCCTGTCGCAATTTTGTCCAGAAAATCAGATTTTTACATTCCCCTGCTATGAATCTGTAATTAAGATCAATCAACATCCACTATTCATACAGAAAGTTGATGGAAATGATATGTTAATGATTCCCCCTATAATTTTGTCACGTGTTTTTTCCCTATTTTTATACAATCGCTTCGGAAAACGTGATCTTTTATCGTGAAGAGATTTCAAGCAGACGAAAAGACGCGTCTTTTTTCGGGGTATCAGACCTATTAATTGGTTTTACACGGAAATGGAAGACGGCCGAGAAAACGGCTAAAAACTCCATTCCCCTATCATTTTGGCACGCACTGTATTTAATGGCGTTGAATAGTTGGGGTGGTGACAGGGCGCGTTACAGGGTAAAGCAATACTTTTTAATTTTAATTTAATTCATTCTTATCAGAGGTGGAATTTCGGGTTCTTCCGCATTATCAGGGGGGTGGGGGGAGTTTATCGGGGAAAAACCGAAATCATGTAAACCATAGCCAGCTGACCTACGTCCTCGTCGTCACTCTCACTGTATCCACAGCGGTGCGGGCCCATGGCACCGCAATCTCTTTTTCGGTCTGGTTCGGCGCGCGGGTTCTGTTCCTTCCACCACCAGACGCAACGTTCGCCGGCCTTGCATCGTACTGTGCTATTCCCCATCGCCATGATCTTCTCGAAAAACTAAGCAAAAAAGGTCGTGGTGGGGCGGGCGGATCGAAAACTTGACAAGTTGGCCTTCGCAACTAAAACACAAGCTGCTATGCAGTCTGCAAACGGCTTGGGCTAAACTGTGGATACCTCCCCCCGGGGCCTGGCAAGGGTACCAAAATTCTTGCCTTGCTCTGTAGAAGAAAGTTACATTACAAAAGCCAAAAAAATGAAGGGTAAGAGTCTAGTTTACCCCCAGCCGTAAATTTTCAGCCCTGCTTCCTATTAATGCGGGGAGTATCTCAAAATGTTTGCCGTGGTCGAATTACTGGCTAAATTGTCGTAGTCGGTCACTAAACCGATTTCGAATTTTTATATGTCAAAGCGCACAGTGGATCGAGCTGATTCAAGATCAGTTGAAAAAACTTTTCGGAAACACTTCTGTCTCGAGATATGACACTTCAAAGTTTGACTTTAACCCGTTCTTTATATAACCTGCTCGGGAAACTATCAGAATCTCGAAAATCAGAATCTCGAAAGTTCAGAATCTCGAAAATCAGAATTTCCAAAATCAGAATCTCGAAAATCGGAATCTCGAAATTAGAATCTCGAAAATCCAGACCAAAATACACCGTTTTTAGGCAGATAGGAGTTGTCCTACGGCTTCCTAATTTTTTTGATAGGCAAGAGGTAGAAATTTTCGAGATTCTAATTTTCGAGATTCTGATAGTAAACCAATCTGTTCCCGCCCCTAAAAGCCCGTTTTCAGTGCGGGAAATGAGGGATGGTGCTCGACAAGAGCTTAGCTTTACTCTTCACCCCCAGTTTGAGCCAAAAAATGAGGCTTCGTGCCGCCCGGGGCCTAGTCGCTTCGGATGGGTGCGAGTACAGGCCTTCGAAATCGGGGCGCCTGAGAGCGCGAAGCGCCCAGGCGCCCTATTTCGAAAGAGCGGAGCGGCGGCCCATCTAAAGCGACGGCCCGCCTTGCCTGACAATGTTTTTTACCCAAGAAACAGCAATTCCCTACCATTCCGTTCTTTCCGATGTACAGTTGGCGTATATAGGTGTATTGCGTACTACGTCTCGGCCGGTTTTGAGACCTTGTAAGCTACATATCTCTCGATAGCGATTTTCCGAAAATTTTTTCAACTGATCCTGGATCAGCTCAACTCGCTGGACATTGTGACAACACTACGATTTTCGCTTAGTGACCGGAGACTTTAGTAGCCAACTTTGAAGTTACATATCTCGAGACAGAAGTGTAAAATAAAATAAAGAATAAAATATGTGAGTTTCACGACGGGAAAAAGGGCGACCGAGCGACAAAATTTGAACCGTCCGTTACCCATCCGCCTCCTCCATTACAAACGTTCTTCCCGTCGGCAACGCATTCGTAGCACAAGAGTGCATAGAAGCCGGGAATGAGCAGCACTAGGGCAAGAAGTCGCATCAAATAATGTACAGAAGGTTGCGCGTGATTTAATACAGCTGTTTAAAGAAAGGGGTTTTTGCTTCCGGCTAATTTCCGCTTTCGCAAAAGATGCTAATTAGAAATGGTCGTAAATGCGCGGGGCCGGAAGTTTCTGGGAAACGAGGTTTAAAAACCCACTTCGCGATGTTTCAAACCTGGCCCCGTCTCATCCCATGAGAGTTCTCAATTTGGAATTACGCGGCTAAAAGAATGAGCAACGCTCCCCCTCTTTTCTATAGGCTACCTCCGCTTCCGGTGCATCCTACTATATATAAAAAATAGTGTCTGTGTGTATGACACTTTGCATGCAACTTCCGTCAGCGTGTCCGGAGGATATCTCAAGAAGGCAAGGGCTGAAAGGGGCGTATGATACGTCATTAGACGCGTAATGGCCTGTAGATGACTGCACGCCTATCAGATTTTTCAAAAGCTACTGTTTCCGACATTAAAATTAAGTTTTTCCTTAAAAATCGGACATCTTTGTTAGGAAGAAATAAGCTTACGCCGGAGGTGGAAGTAGCCTTTATAATCGGGAAGAGGACGCGCTTTTCATTTTTGACCTAAAAGTTTAGTTTGCGTTCCCGAAAAGCGTAGCTTATCGCCGTCATATCGGTATTAAAAACCCGTGATGTGCTTCCGTTAGGACTGTGAAGCTCCACACTTCCTCTTTTAGCCCGCAAGATGTATTGCGTATAAGCTTGCGCGGAACCAAGGAAAGCAAATATTGAAATTTTCGAGACAGTTAGCCGGGAGCAATCGGTATTCATACCGATATGACGGCGATCGGCTACGCTTTTCGGGCATAGCTGTCATCTCGCAAAACTAAAATCTTTTAGTTGAAAAACCGATTTTCCATACAAAAATCGAATTTTCTAAAATTTACAGGATGCATCCAACCGTCCTGGAATCTTGATTACAGTAATCTACGAGGTAAAAACATAGAAATTCAACTTACCATTATACACTATTATACTTGGTTTTTTTTGGGGGCGGACACATAATTATGTGGATCGGAAAAAAAAACGTGTTTTCTGAAAAAACATCGATATTTCTTCTACGGTTGTATCTAAGCCAAAATATGCTGCCGATTTTGTTAATACAACCCATCCGTCGAAACACGTTACGAAAAAAGATCTTCGAAGTTTTTGGGGTGGACACATAATTATGAGGGGCGGTGTAGCTTAAAAGGCCTCAAAATAGGGAAGGCGTAGTACGTAATGCGCCTATATACGCCAACTGTACATCGGAAAGAAACGGAATAGTAGGATACTGGACGAATCCTGACCAGACATTTTGCATATGCTTCCCCAACTTGCTGCTTAAAAGGACGCTTTTGCTGCTTCCGGTTAACTTCCGATGCGGCAATCATGCAGATTCAACATGGTTGAAAATTTGCGGGACCGGAAGTGACGGGGACAGGATTGTAAAAAAAAGACTTCTTGCTAGATATCCTACTATATATCAACCAGCGCCCAAAACCCGCTTCGCGGGCCTTGGGCGCTGGAATGGTGCGTTTGCATGGGAAATTTGACTTTCCGGTAGCTCGGGTCCTTCGGACCCCCCCCAACCACACGCTCGCGTGCAACTCGCAAGAATGAGGAAATTTGTATTTTTTCACATTATGCAAATTACCCCCAAAAATGAATAAAACCGGCTTTAACTTTGTAAACTTGTATTTTATCCAAATTCTGAGCACGCCATCGGAAACAGAAGGGTCGATTCCCCCAAGTGACGAAGAATTAGGACATTTTATGCACGGGAAGGCCCTTAAATCGGGCCTCGAAAGTGACATCCACACACACACACAGAGATACACCCCAAAATTATATAAGGTAGGACTATAATAATTTTCTTGACGCGTCCGTCCGTCCGTCTGTCGTGTCCCAGATTCAACTCGAAGGGGAAAGGAGCTAGAGCTTAGCTCTCTTCGGATTCGGATGGAGCGCCGTCAGAAACCCCCAAACTGATAAAAAAAATTATAAAAAACTTTTAGTTTAAATTATTAAAATTAACTTTGAAAGTGGCGCTTTAATAAAACGAGTGGGGGGACCCCTCTCCCTCCCCTCCCCCTCCCCCTTTCCCCTCGCCCCTCTTCCCCAGGCCCCTTCCCGCGCCCAGATAGCTTTTTTAAGTTACTTTAATACTTTTAATACTTTTTAATACTTTTTAATTATGTTAATTAATTATTTAAATCATCTAAAGCAATCGGGAAGGTATTTAGGTAGTTTTTGAAGCGGATTTCGGCCATGAGGGGTATCTGAAGCCATCATGAAGGTATTTAGGTAGTTTTTGAAGCGGATTTCAGCCATGAGGGGTATCTGAAGCCATCAGGAAGGTATTTAGGTAGTTTTTGAAGCGGATTTCAGCCATGAGGGGTATCTGAAGCCATCAGGAAGGTATTTAGGTAGTTTTTGAAGGGGATTTCAGCTATGGGGGGTATCTGTAGCCATCATGAAGGTATTTAGGTAGTTTTTGAAGCGGATTTCAGCCATGAGGGGTATCTGAAGCCATCAGGAAGGTATCGAAGTAGTTTTTAAGGGGGTTTCAGCTATGGGGGGAGGGGGTATTTGAAGTCGTTAGCGTGGGTATTGATGTGGCAGGTGGAATGGTGTGGTGTAGGACATGTAGGGTAGCCCGAAGGCCAGATGGTTACAGTCGCGAAGCGACTGGAACCATCTGGTAAAAAAATAGTTTCTGTGTGTGTGTGTGGACACTTTGCATAAAATCCCGGGTTCCAGCCATAACTCGAAGGGAAGAGGATTTTATGGTTCAGAAGTAAAGTGTTTAGGGGTAATCGAGGGCGTAGATTACTGCGCGCATATCAGATTTTTACTAAAATGACGTTTTATACCTTATTTTAGCGATTTAAAAACATATGGAAATAGACTAATTTGCATACCGCTATTAATTCGGCTCATTCTGGGCTTTGCGGGGTTTCGAGTCGGTTGCTCACGTAATTCCTGTGGTGCCTTTCCCTAACGTAATTCGTAATATTAATGCAAATTATCATGTGCAGTGCCCGTGTATCAAAGGGCCCCGCAGAGAGGCCAGGGTTGAAAAGTCGCGAAGCGGCTTTTCAACCCTGGTAGGGTGTTGAAAAAAGACACGTCTGCAATTTAAATCAAAAAAATATCATTTACGAGCCGATTTTGGCTAGATTTTGCCGAAAAATGCCATTTTCAGGCTTGCGTTTCCTAGAATCTAACATTTGTTACTTAATAGGATAGCATAGCGTGTTACTTAACAGTTTTATTATAGCTTTTAAAATTTAACAATAACATTTAGTTGGAACATTATAGGCTGACCGGGGGAGTCGGAAGCCCTCGAGCATGCTTGCATGATCCGCTTGCATGATTTGCATCGCCGCATTTGAATTCGGAAATGTGACGGGACCTGACCTCAAGTAATGGTATAAGCCAGATCTCATTCTCATCAAACCCCGCCCTCCAATCGGCTGCCAATATATTGTTCCGGTGATGTTCCTGCTTCTTCTGACGCTGCTGCCATTTGCGCAGCTCCAAGAGGTCTGTGTTTATGGCAAAACTCACGAGGGAACGTTGCGAAGTCCGCGTTTGGGCAACCCGTTCCCCTAGATGAATTTTTTGCGCTGATTCCAATTTGCAATCAATTGTTGCTCTATGCTTTTTTGTCAAGATATTCGAAATTTCCATACAAAAAGTCAGTTCCGCCATATCAAAAGGAGCTATTTTGCCATGCTAGTGGAGTTTTCGCCTGCAAATTTTCGGAGATGGTGCCCATAAATCCTGTTAGCAAGGATTTTAACGCCTATGCATACCTGTGAAAGATAAATAGCCTATTCACATACAAAAATTGTTAATATTTAGAAACAGGACCGTACGGGAATGTGGGGAGAAAATTAGGTTACCCCTGCTAACAGTCCAGTTCCTGGTAAACCAAAGTTTTATCAGCCTATTTTTGATATGGCAGAATAACAAGATCTCGAGTAACATATAAATTTACAGGATGAGCGCCAGAAAGTTTTCTGTGACGTGACGGGGCACCCTTGGGATCCGATCCACGGCTGCAAGCTGCGCAAACAGCCCGGACTCTATAAGCATGACTGGGGCATGGCACTCATCGAACTCGTGGATGGCACCCCAGACGGGACGGTCGGGCCCGCTAAGGTGTACTATGGTACGCATCTTTCAACTTGACCCCAGAAGGCCTTTCAGCGTGCCCCGATGTGTCAAAGGGAGACGAACGCGTCGTGTTTTGCCATACGATGGCTGGGCTCGGTAATTCCTGGCAAGCACAACACGCTTCAACGTCTTTTTCAGGCATTGTGCCGATGAGGACGCCCGGCTGCTGGCGCTACGGCTGGAAGATCGAGCCCTCGACTGCTTGCTGTAGCTGCTCTGCAACAGTCTCCTAATAAAAATTTTTTTGAGACAACACGACGGCGCTGTCGTATTATAACTACAAGGGCAAGAGGGTACCCATGAAGCTCGTCCAGGACGCCAGCCCCGGCATCCAAATGCTCCTCAAGCACCATATGTTTCAAATGGTAACTTGATGCTGGATCATGTGAAGGTTTTTAGTTCGGCGAGGCTCCGGCTTACATGCCTAAGCCTAGGCCGAAGCTTAAGCTTAAGCCTAAGCCCTAAGCCTAAGCCCTAAACCTAAGCCCAAAGCCATAAGCCTTAGCCTAAGCCTACGCCTAAGCCCTAAGCCCAAAGCCTACGCCTAAGCCCAAGCCTACGCCTAAGCCTAAGCCTAAGCCCAAGTCTAAGCCCTAAGCCTAAGCCCTAAATCTAAGCCTAAGCCTGATCCTAAGCTTGTTAGACCGTGGTTAGGCTTGTTCTGCTGGGGCTTCAGCTCCGATTCAAGAGAGCAGCTACCGGGAGCACACCCGCAGTTTCCGTCTCAGCTTTCAAAATTGACGCTGGTTTTCAGAATATGGCGCAGCGACAACAAGTGGGCCACATCGATCATCCCTTGAAACGCCCGTCGACCTTCGAATTCGACGTTGGGACTAGAATATGAGGATTTAACGATTCTAACTCTTCTTCAGGTAGAGTGGCTTCCGCCGCCCTCTACCACGACGACGACCACCAGCGAGCCGGAGCCCACGGAGAGCGGCAGCAGCGAGGACGACAACCTCCGCGCCCAACTGGCCATCGAGCGCGCCGAGTATGTAGCGATACCATCTTCCACACGAATTTTATTCCCATTTTTACGCGTAGGCGCAATAAAAGGTAGCGCGGAGTAGTCGTTTTAGTCGTGTTCTTAGTAAATGTAGCTTTATTTGAACTAAGAGATCTATTTAAGGACTCCAAAATTTTGAAAACCTCGAATTTGTTGAAAAAATGGCCATTTTCAGTAGAAGACTCTATATTTTTGAAAAATATTTGTAAAGTTTTCAAGCTTGGGAATAGTAAAAGACCGCTTAAAAACAATTTCACTATTTATATTTGAAAAATCAGATCCGAAGATTCGACCCTTAATTTCAGCGCTGTCTACTACCGCTTCATGCTGCTGTTCATCAGCTTCGCGACGGCGGTGGGGATCCTGGGCGCTTCGCACTACATCAAGTACCGCACCGTGGTCAAGGCGCAGAAGCTGTGTACGTTTTTCTTTGCACAATTTCAGCCTTTTTTTGGTTTTTTTTTTGTTGTTCACGTTCGTCCTTTTCAGACGGCCCCAACGCTACGGCCAACAACGTGCCGCGCGGCAGGCCAGTTCAGCAGCTGGAAGAGCGACCGACGTCTGCCTACATTCCGCCCTCCTCCACCGGCGCCCCCAACTAGGATCAACGACTACAACAAATACCACGATTTCCTTTTTCCTCTGTAGAATGCTGTGTTTTTTGTATTGTGATCTTTTTTTTCTGATTCACGTCACTAAAGTAGTTTCTGAATAAACACACACAGCCAAGTCCGAATTGATGGTGCATCTCTCTCTCTCTCTCTCTCTCTCTCTCTCTCCTTCGCGCTCTCATTATCACTCTCGCTCTCTCTCTCATGCTCTCTATCTCTCCCCTTTGCTCTCTCATTATCCCTCGTTCTCTCTCTCTCGCTCCCTCTCTCGCCCTCTTTCTCTCTCTATATCTCTCTCGCTCTCGCTATCACTCTCTCTTGCGTTTCAACTTTCAAATTAGTGTAAGTAAATTCGGTAATTTGAATCTGAGCGATTAGCATCACGGGACCATATCGCATTTCTGAAAATGTCATTATCTGGCTGTCTTTCTCGCCAAACCCGCCCTCCAATCAACCGTCAAGCTCCGCTTCCTGATGCTGCTCTTGCTTCTTCTGATGCTACTGCCATTTGTGCAGCTTCAAATGGTGGGGGCTTTTGGCAAGAATGTAGTTTACCACAAGGAAGTTAGCAGTCTTGACTGCTTTTTTTACTTCAATACGATTGGGGGTGTATGACTACAGAGGCCCCCCTCCCCAGCCCGCCCCCTACTCTAACTTTATCAGCTCCCCGTCGGCCTACAGGTGCGTAAAGAATACCAATGACCTCCGCTCATACCAATGACTTCGTTGGGATTCCTCGGAGAGAGTCTTTTGGTATGACTTACAAAAGACCTGTAGACGACCACGCAGTAGATATAAGGTAGGAGAGGACCGGCTGGAGGGGAGGGGTACTGCAACGCGTATGTTAAAGGATACTCAAGGGCCAATACTATCTGCGTCTTGTCGTGTTTTCCCGACAAAAAAAAGACAAAAACCCTGTTTAGAGCCCTGAGCATGTGAACTGTGACGTGACCGGCTACCCGTGGCACCCGGAAAGGGAGTGCAAGCCGCTGAAGCGCGACATCTACCCTGCTGACCAGGGAGTGGCATTCCATGAGCTGATCACAAGCGGGACGAAACAATTTAACGTCACTTACGGTACCTTTGTTAAGCTTTTGTTTTTCGCACTGGTTTTTTGAGCGGGGGCCGGTGCGAGGGAGAGCGGGCGGGGAGAGAGTGAGAGAGAGATAGAGAGCAAGGGAGAGAGACGACTAGCAAGAGTGACCACTTCAACTATTTTTATTTTTCATTTGCAGCGTGCCCCGACAACCCGAAGGAGCCCGATTACATTGTGTTTTGCTACACGGAATGGGTGAATGGTAATTTTTTGCTAGGCGCAAGAATGGCGATATATCCGTAGTCCGTTTTACCCGTGTAATGGAAAGCTGCTAAAACAATGGTTATTGAAGAGGTCGTAGAACGCGGCCATAAGGAACTACGCCGATCCGTGCAACGGATTGTCGCTTATCCTAATGTTTCCGAAAACCATTTTCAAGCCTTCGTAACGTTCTTGATACATTTTTCCCAATCATTCTTTTAACAGACCTCGACTCTGCTCGAGCTGCACTTTTGCATACCTAAAACATGCATGTTTGATAAGTGCCCGTATCTCCAACTAGCTAGATACCTTTGCACTCCTATATCTCGCTTGATTTTTTTAGAGCGACTCGGGAACGAGCAAGCTCGGATCGAGCCGATGGGATGCTGGCAGTACGGCTGGAAGAAGAATCCCGAAAGCAGAGCCGAATGCGGTTCGTCAATTCATCAAATATTAAAATAAAATAATCAATTATCGGGTCTGGGCTGTTAGCGGGGGGGCGTGTTAGCGGGATCCCGACCCACACTGCACTGCACTCTAACCAAAATTTCTTTCCCTCCCCCCACAAAGCCCCCTCCCACTAACGACCTAGAATCAAGCGACGGGTGTTTTTTCAGAAAATGCCTCGGTGCTGACGGAGGACCGTCTCCAAGGATGGCCGAAAGAACCGATCAAGCTGATTGCACCAGCCGGGAAAGGCTTAATCGACCTGGCAAATGAATACGTCAAGGACTACGTGACAACACATTCGTGATGCTCTAACAGAATTTTTAGGGGTATGCGGGCGAGCCGATTGGGTACTCGAGGACTGCGACGCGACGTGACGACTTTGTTTACGATGTGGGTTTACAGGACTTGGCAAAAACCGCTGTGATTCGTTGGACGATAGGGTTAAAGTTCAGTTTACCCCTCCCCTCCAGCCGGCCCGCAACTTCTTGTGTCTCGGCTCCCTGTTCATCTACAGGTGTTTAAAGTATACCAAAATATTTGTCTTGCTCTGGCGAGTATTTTGGTATACTTTACACACCTGTAGATGAACAGGGAGCCGAGATACGGTAGGTGGGGGTCGGCTGGGAGGGGGGGGGTGAACTGCACTACAGCCAAGACCCAAGCTCCGCAGACGTGCGCGATTTTGACGATTAGTTATCTATCGAGAGCTCTTGAAAAAGCGAGTCCTACACGCTGCTCGACTTTCTCCATTTTTCATCGAAATAAGACGCGATTTTTGTCAAAAACTCAATTTAACCGGTTTAAGTGCCATCCAAGCCGTGTTGGCAAACGGCTTTTGAAAAATCTCTGTTGGGTCGCCAGAAAAAGCGAAAAATCCTTAAACTTTGGTTTGTTGAAAAAGCCCTTGGGCAGAAAACATCAGAAAATCCTCGCTTTTCGCAAAAATCTCAGTAACTATTGAAAAAACCAGCGCCCAAAACCCCGCTTCGCGGGCCCTGGGCGCTGGAATGCGGCGTTGCATGAAAAGTTTGACTTTCTGATAGCTCGGGTCCTTCGGACCCCTTCCCTGTCCCGACCAAACCCGCGAGTGCAACTTGCAAGAATGAGGAAATTTCTTTTTTTCACATTATGCAAATTAGCCCTCCCGGACCCCCAAAAATGGATAAAATCGCCTTTAACTTTGTAAACTTGTATTTTCTTTGTAAACTGAATACACCATCGGAAAGAGGAGGGTCGATTCCACCGGATGGCGGAGAATTAGGGCATTTTGGACACGGGAAGGCCCTCAAATCGAGCCTCGAAACTGACCTCCGCACACACACACAGACAAAGATACGCGACCAAATTATATAAGGTAGGATTTGAAAAATTGAGGAACAGAGTGACGTGTTGGACCAGCTTTTCCGGGAGCTTTCAATAGATACTGGAAACTAAAAAACGGACCCGCCTGCGGCCGGCTAGGGGGGGGTGTTTTTCGAGCGCAAAACGCGACGTTTAGTTCTAATGTTTTATGTTTTTGTGTCGCGTTTTTCTCAGCTAATTTACCTGATATCCCACACGCAAAACGACTGAAATTGTTGCTAGGGTTCTGTCGTATTTGCCGGGGGGTACTGTTGCGCCTTTTCCGCCCGTTTCTGCGTGAACAGCAAATGGTTTACCATTTTCAGCCGTCCTGGCTGCCTACGACGACAACCACTACCACCAACACTACAACGGTACTGGGCTGTTAGCGGGGGGTAGCGGGGCAGGACTCCAAATTCCTTAGACCATTTTTATAGCAATTGTCAGCTATCGTAAACCTCGTAAAACTTTTGGCAAATTGGCGATTTTTTTGGCTAACCCTCCTAGAGCCCTGAGCATGTGTACTGTGACGTGACCGGCTACCCGTGGCATCCGGAAAAGGAGTGCAAGCCGCTGATGCGAGACATCTACACTAATGACTCGGGAGTGGCGTTCCATGAGCTGGTCACGAGTGGGACGAGACAACTTAACGTCACTTACGGTGCCCTTTTAAGCCTTTGTTTTTCGCAGTGGTGTTAGTGGAGAGAGTTCTGAGAGAGAGAGAGAGTGAGAGAGCGATAGCGGGAGAGGAGAGAAAGAGAGAGCTAGGAAGAAAGAGAGCGAGGGTGCGAGGAGAGAGAGAGAGAGAGAGAGAGAGAGAGAGAGAGAGAGAGAGAGAGAGAGAGAGAGAGAGAGAGAGGGAGAGAGACGACTAGCAAGAGTTGCCACTTGGATTTTTTCATTGGCAGCGTGTCCCGACAGCCCGACGGCGCCCGATTACATTGTGTTTTGCTACACGGAATGGGTAAATGGTAAGCGGCGGAACAAATGGCTTATATTTTGAGTTCTTTCGCAGTATCGGGGGGGGGGGGCGTCTAAATTGATACAAAAAAATTGGTCCCGCCGCCCCTCCACCGATAATGCGCAAGCACCAGCTTTTTTTAAGAGCGACCCGGGCACGAGCAAGCGCGGATCGAGCCGATGGGATGCTATCAGTACGGCTGGAAGAATAGCCCCGAAAGCAGAGCCGAGTGCCGTGAGTGTCTTAATCTCTTATTAGCTACACCCCTCCCCCGGTTAACGACTCAGAACCAAGCATCAGGTGTTTTTTTAGAAAATGCATCGGTGCTGATCGAGCATTATCTACAAGGATGGCCGAAAGAACCAATCAAGCTGATCATGCCAGCCGGGAAGGGCCTAATCGCGCTGGCAAATGAATACGTCAAGGACATTGTAACAACACATCCGTGATGATCTAACGAAATTTTTAGTCATTTGCGGGCGAACCTATTGGATTCACGAGGACTGCGACGCGACGTGACGACTTTGTATATGATGTGGGTTTATGGAGTGGTCAAAAACGTTCGCTACTTTGAGCCTTCATAACTTTTGGCGCACATTGGGCTAAAATCTGGCTTCCCCCCCCCCAGCCAGCATTCGCCCCCAACTCGTCCAATTAATGCGTGAAGTATCTCAAAATGTTCCCCTCGTCGAATACTCCATTTCCATATCCTTTTTTTGAAAAGAAAAATAACAAATAACAATTTTAGAAGCAATTTATTGTTGCGGCGCAACTATAGTATTGCGGTAACAGGGCAACCGGGCGCCCCTTTCGACGCTTACGACGGGGAAAGGGATGGCTGTCGCCCCAATACAAACCAATATTTGTTTAAGCTTTATTTCTTTTTCTTTCTTTATTTTCGCTTAAAAAAGTATATGGAAATGGAGAAGAGGGGAACCTTTTGAGATACGTGGCACATTATGGGGATGACTTGAGGGCAAATGCTGGCTGGGGGCGGGGGGTAAGCTAGGCTCTAACCCTTGGTTTTTTGGATTTTCGGCGACATACTAATACAATTGATACCCGAATCAATTTCAGCCGTCCTGGCTGCTTACGACGCCTGCCACCACCACCACTACTACGACGGTACTGGGCTGTTAGCGGGGGGCAGGGTTAGGAGGGGCAGGAATTCTGTAATAATCTTTCCCAGTAATCCAGCGGCCTCTACAACGAAATATAAACGATTTTTTATAGCACCATAAGCCGTTTTAGATATAAAAACCTCGGAAAGGATTATATAAATGTTCGCATATTTGGATTTCTTGCCAAAAATATGTGAAAAAGATTAAGAAATGCCAAAAATTTTCTGGTGATTTTTAGGAATCAAAGCATACTAAACCCGCCGAGCCGAAACCAACGGAAAGCGACGATGATATCCGGAAGCGACAGTTGCAGCTTGAGAATTCCGAGTGAGTAGGAGCACATTTTTTTTTGATTCCGGCTAAACCCGAGTACACGGCGGTCAAGCGGGGTCTGAAGTTGGCCGATCCAAATGCTAAAGCACGACCTAAAATCTTATTCCATTCCAGCCGCGAGTTGTACCAATACCTGCTGCTCGTCTTGAGCTTCGGCGGCGCGTTGGCGATCGTCGGCTGCGGGAATTGCTGCATCTACTGTGTCCAGAAGAAGCGTCCGTTTTTTTTGCTTTTGTTTCCGTCGTAGCTGTCGTCCGGGCTCCAAGTTAAGACAAAGTTTGTCCAGAATTTTGCGCCGAGTCCGACGATGTTTACAAAATCTGCGGGATCGTCATTTTCCAAAAGTTATGAACGCCGTAAGACCCGGAAGCGCCCAAAATGCGCCACTTTCTATGGTTTTCCAGACTTAAATCGTGCATAACTTTCGAAGGATCGCGTTTCTGCAAATTTGATAGAAGTATTCGAAATAACAATAACAAAAATATTTGTTTCAGATTCAAACATGATTTTGCCGAATTCGATGATTAAAACACTATAATCCTACTATAAATAAAAAATAGTGTCTGTGTGTGTTTGTGTGTGTGTGCCACTTTGCATCCATTTCCGTCTGTCTGTTCGGAGGATATCTCAAGAAGGGACGGGTATTGGGCTACGTATGATACGTCATTAGGTGCGTAATGATCTAGGGATACACATATCATATTTTTAAAAATTAGCCATTTTCGAGATAAAATTTAGGTTTTTGTAAAAAGCACTTTGTTAGGAATAATTTGCATAGAGCGGAAGTGGGTGGTCGCCTATACATATAAAGAGGCAGAAACGGTTCTTTTCACTTTTTTGTCTTCTGATTGAATGGAGGACAATTATGCAAAGGACAGAATAGTATGGGTCCGAGACGTTGTGGGGTTGAAAAGTCGCGAAGCGGCTTTTCAACCCTGGTCGTCTAAAATTCAGAAGTCAGAACCAGGGGTTTAGAAATCATCGCCGAATCTGCGAGTTATAGTGTTTTGACAAAGAAATCGAACGAAAATGGTTTTCCGCAAAATTGTCCGTCGTCTCGCAGCGACCGCTGGCAATTTACCAAAACCCAACGGGGCGAGATTTGGCAATTTGGAACCCCTATATTTTCCTTTTTAGGAAGCTCCCCCGATCGGGATCAGCCACCACTTCCGTCCAACTCGAGGCCCAATACATCCACCACTACTGTCGCCACTCCTACCATCCAGCCCGCCACACCCACCACGAATGACCAAATCGTCTGATCTCTACCCTGAGCCGAGCACGATGTTCAAGCAAAGCTCGTGCTCCAGACCTGTAACACCCATTCTATCCAAGATGTGCTTTGTGATTAATATAACCAGAGGTTTCGAATAAAGTTCTTGCACGGGCTCGCTCGATCGGTCTCTGTCTCTCTCTCGCGCGCGCATCTCTCTCTCTCTCTCTCTCTCTCTCTGTCTCTCTCTCGCTCTCTATCTCTATCAGCTGCTACTTCCGGTTAGTCCCAGAGAATTTTTAAATAATTTTTGAATTTGAATCCTATGAACTTCCATCACGGGAAACCACACGAAAAGGTTTTGGCATCATTCTCATCAAACCCCGCCCTCCAATCAACCGCCCAGATCGGCCTCCCGATGCTGCTCCTGCTTCTTCTGATGCTCCCGCCATTTGTGCAACTCCAGGAGGTCCGCCTTTCAGCAAAAACCTTGCATCAAAAAGTAGCGGAAGACGAAAAACACCTACAAAGTGATAATGCTGGAGCAACAGCTAGGACGAATGCGAACTTGAGACTTTCAGTTCTCTCCGGCAAATAAAAACCATGTTTAGAGCCCAGAGCATGTGTACTGTGACGTGTCCGGCTACCCGTGGCATCCGAAAAGGGGGTGCAAGCCACTGAAGCGAGAGATCTACCCTGATGATCAGGGAGTGGCCTTCCATGAGCTGATCACGAGCGGGACAAAACAGTTTAACGTCACCTACGGTACGTTTTTTAAGCTTTTTTCGCGCTGGGGCATTAGCGGGGGAGTGGGATTTTTGCGTGGGGAGGGTGGGGTTCTAAAAATGGCTATGACAATGTCTCTGAAATTCTGAGAGAGAGAGAGCGCGAGAGAGAGAGAGAGAGCTAGAGAAAGACAGAGAGCGCGAGAGAAAGAGAGCGAGGGAGATAGAATGAGAGAGCGGGAGAGAGAGCAAGGGAGAGAAACGGCTGGCGAGAATTGCCGCTTCAAGGATATTTATTCTCATTTGCAGCATGCCCCGACATCCCGACGGAGCCGGACTACATCGTGTTTTGCTACACGGAATGGGTGATGGGTAATTGTTTTGCTAACCGCAGTTTTCGACAAAAAATGGTCCTTTTTGACCAAATCTCGACATTTTACGAATATTTGTTTTTGTTTTTCCGGTTTAAAACTAGTAGTTTTGTTAATAAAGCATAATGAAAACATTTCCCTATTAAGTTAATAGACCTTTCTAAATGAATCCGGGAAAAAATTGCCCCCCGATAATACGAAAGCACCAGCCATTTTTAGAGCGAAAGGGGCACGAGCAAGCGCGGATCGACCCGATGGGATGCTATCAGTACGGCTGGAAGAGGAGTCCCGAAAGGAGAGCCGAGTGCCGTTCGTGTCTTGTTTAACTTATCGGTTCTGGACGGTTGATCTTATATTATTTTTACACGGCTTTTTTTGTAAGTTTTTATTTATTAGAGAGTTAGAAAAAAAATATTTTGAAAATTTTTGAGGATTTGAAAAGGGAAAAATTTGGTTGCCCCCCGCTAAAAATGCCCCCCCCCCCGCTAACAGTTCAGAACCCGTTTATTTGCCAACTTTGAAACAAAATTCGAAGTTAGTCCCCCTGCCCCCGATAAACCTTTGCGAATAATCTACTTTTCGAAGAACAACCTTTTTAGAAAACCCAGCGGCGATGGCTGAGGGAGATCTCCAAAAATGGCCGCAAAAACCGATAGAGCTGATCATGCCGGCCGGGAAGGGCCTAATCGCACTGGCAGATGAATACGTCAAGGATATTGTAACTACCAGACACCGTCATTCGCTAACAAATTGTTTTTAGGGATGGGGCGGCGAATATGTTGGGTTCACGAGGACTGCGACGCGACGTGCCAACTTTGTGTATGATGTGGGTTTACAGCGCTTCGCAAAAATTCACTTGATATCGGCTGATTGGTTAAGGCCCCTCCCAAAAGGGCTTATGATTGGCACTTCCCCGCCCCTTTAAGGCACAATTTTTTGAACAAGGATAGTGAAAGTGTTTCTGAATGATCTTTTTAATATTCCTAAACGTGCAAACCTTGCAAGATTTTATTAAAAAGTGGCAAAAATATAGATTTTTCGATTGAAAATGGCCGATTCTTGACCAAAATTTCTACTTTTTTCAATATTTAGAGGTTTTCTACTTAAAATAAGCTTATGTATGACAAAAAACTATTAAAATCCTTTCTATTAAATTACTAAGCACTCTTAGACTTAACAAAAAAGTTCGGAACCACAGGAGCCGGCGATACTTCTAATTTCAAACCACCGTCAAGGCCATGTTTGGTGCTTTTGCATTATCGGGGGGGGGGCAGGGACAGGGAGATTTTTGACAGGATAAGCATCCGGCTCATCATTTTCAGCCTTCCTGGCTGCCTATAACGACAACGACAACCACCACAACCACCACAGCCACGACGACTACCACGACGACCACAACCACCACAACAACTACAACCACCCCCGAGCCGGAACCGACGGAAGACGCCGATGATATCCTGAAGCGACAGTTGCAGCTCGAGCATGCCGAGTGAGTACAAAAACGGTGTTCGACTGAACTCCAATACCCCCCCCCCTGAGCCGACCCCTTTTGTTTCTCGGCTCCCTGTTCATCTACGGGTGTGTAAAGTATACAAAAATACCCGCCAGAGCAAGTCGCACATTTTGGTATACTTTATCTACCTGTACAGGGTGGCGATTAATTACCTGCGCGTCGCTTTTACCCTAAAAATCAGGCTTTAAATTTTGTTTTATAGAGTGGTTTTACTATATTGGTGGTTGTTTAGTTGCATCCTATCCAAATTTTAACCGGGTTAAGCAATCACGAAAAACTACGAGCTAAGAAACATAAATTCCGGGTTCACAACGCGCATCCTGATCCCATGGCCACACTTTTGAAGCCTACTGTAGCCATGGGAGGTAGCTAATCTTTTATAAAACGACTCAGATACGTTGCGGGCTTCTTTTCAAACGTAGTAAGCGTTCGAAAACCGACCTAAGTCACAAGATAAAAAAAAGATACAGTATCGAGAACGACATCGGTCAAATGGAAATAAAAACCGCGCGTCCTTTCGATATTACGCGTGAATCTATCGGTACGATATGAGAAAATATGTACAATCCTTACAATAACCATATGCCAAAAGTTCTTGGGTTCATAAGGCTTTATCAGGAAACTAGAATCCAAAAATGCTAGAAATTACTGACGATTTTTGAGGTGCGCCGCGGACTGAATTGAAGGCATCATTTTTGGCCCAGAACTTTCCCAAAATTCTTCAGAACCGGCCTCAATTTAACAATGCGACCTATCAAACCAATCGGAAGAGGGCTACATCAACGAAATTGCTCTTTCCCGAAATATATTTTTATTTTTGAGGTGTCTCATTCTGGCCGATTTGGCACCAGGCGGAAATTGGTCGTAGAATTTTTGTTATTTGGTAGGGCTAGGGCTCACTGAAAATGCTTTTAATGGCCTGAGCATCTGGAGAGTAATTGGAGGCGTCGAACTAACAATAATTTGAGGGCACTACCTATCAAACTGAAAAAATATCGGGACTTTTGGTCGGTACATACCCCGCGGCGCACGCGCTTTTTTGCTCGACGACATTTTTCCGGCTGGAAAAAAGTTGAGGGCCACTGACCCAAATTTTTTCTGTGCATTATGTGTCAGATAGCTTGTGATATCATAAAATGCAGATGGATCAGAGATTGCTTTAAGGAAAATTCAGAGCGAGCGTTTTCTCTCGCGCAGGTAATTAATCGCCACCCTGTAGATGAACAGGGAGCCGAGATGCAAAATTTGGGGGCCGGCTGGGGAGGGGTTTTCTCTTACCCGGTTTTCATTTGCATTATCGAGGGGAAAACTTTTTTCGAAAGGCAATGTAAACGTAATCAACTTTTTAATAATTAAGCTATGTTTTGAGTGCAAAAAAACACGAAAAACCGTGAAAAAATTTTTGGTTTTTCAGTTTTTGGTCGTAATCGGCGATCTTTCGGGGTCTTCGGGTACTTGATCGTTAGCGGGGCTAATGTTTCTTTTTCGCCTATACCTTTCGGTTTATGCTTTATACTGCTAGCCAGAATTTGACGTTTTATACCCTACGTCCTTTACAGCCGCGAGTTCTACCAATACGTGCTGATCTTCTTGAGCGTCGCCGGCGCGGTCGCGATTATTGGCGGCGGGAAATTGTGCATCTACTTCGAACAGAAGAAACGTCTGTTTTCTGTTGTTTGATACCCGGTGTTGGTGAGTTAACGGGGAGGGGTTCGCAGGGCCAAAACCTTAGCCGATGCCTTTAGCAAAACCCGAAACTCAATCTGTTTTTCAGGGAACTTCCCCGATCGAGATCCGCCCCCAACTCCGCCGGCCAACCCGACGCCGAACGCGCCCACCAATCCAGCCACTCCTACCGCGCAGACGACCACAACCACCACGAATGAACAAATCGCCTGATCTCTACCCCGAGCCGAGTACGACGTGAAACGAAGCTCGTGTTCCAAACCTGTAAAACTCACTCAATACACGATGTTCTTTGTGATTGATATAACCAGACGTTTCGAATAAAATCCTTTGCAAGGCTGTAAATGCCGACGCAGTAAATAGATCAATTATTCTTGGCGGTTCAAGGTTGGCGTAGTAAGCGAATTGAAAGTGTAGCTATATGGTATTTAGTAAGTTTGACTATATATAGTAAGGGCAGAAAAACTTTCAAAAATTTGGAAAGTGTTTTTAAAATTTGACAATTTCGTGATTTTCTCCTGAAAAATCCTTGTTTCGACCTACAATTAAATTTTTAAAAACCTAGTAGAGTTTTTGGGTTTGGGAATAGCTAGAAACGATATAAAAATGTTTGCGATTCATTAAAACGTCTACGCCGACAAAAAATTGGTTTTGCCAATTCCTAACGGAGCGGAAATTCGATTCTGTTTAACTGGAATTTGTTTGCGGTTTAATGTGATTTGTTAATATGCATTTTTTTGGAAGCTATATATAATTAGTAGTTCTCGTTTGTTAAGATTTTTTCTATTTCGAAAAAGGCTCAGTTTCGATTTCGAACTTTGATAGTCCTAATCAGTTGGCTAACGATATCTCAAGCCGCATGTTTCCAAATGTATATTTGTATCGTATGGCGGTTAGTCCTAATTTATCGATACATTTATGCGGGATACTTTCTGAGCACATTTTGGTAATTGCGATACTCAACAAAAATCTGTGCGCCATCTATCCGGACAAGCCTCGGCGCTGCGAATTTTGCCCGGTCCCCTTGAATCGCGACATAGTCGATTTCCCTCTCGCCAGACTTCCATTCGGTCACTATGTTGTCGATGAAACTTTGAAGGCATATACGAGACCCAGGTCGGACTCTGAGCAGGATTTTCGGGCACTTTAACCCGATCCACGGTTCGACGGGGACGTCACAGAACAGGGCAATCGATTCGGTGCAAGTGTTGGCGTTTTGGAAGAATTTTGGCGTCGGCTCAGCCACTCCCAAAAGGTCTACATGGAGGTATTTTTGATGCAGAGGCTTCATAGCTGCGATAAGGTCCAAATAAACGTCAGGACCTTTCATTGCGTGAGCAGATATTGATAGTTGTAAGGTACGAAACCCGGGTGGGATTCCGTTTGCTGGTACCTGATACAACTCGGTTCGTGTAGCGGTAGCTCCGGATAGTAATAGTTTTTGGGTGCTTGGATCGTCTAGGTAGAAGCATGTCGATCCAAATGACCCCATACCGATGCAATCGGCTAGAAATATGACGCCATGCTCCAGGCGGTCGTATGGCGATTCCTCGGTAATTTTCCATAGAAATCGGCAACAACGCGCGTACCGGAATCGCGTCCTCGCGCCGGAATTTCCCAAAAAAAGTTATAAGCCGTCGATGGAAGGTGATAGGTAAGTCAATGAATTCCATGGAAGTTAGGAAGTGGTTTTATAGAAAAGAGATAAGCACATAAGGCCCAAAAACAGTTGCGAAAAAGATAGGGATGACGCACCCGGCCGGAAATCGATAAACCGGGTAGCCTAAGGAAATACGGACAGCGCATAGATAAGCTTGGCGTTTTTAAGGAAAGGAAAAACCGCTTTGTAATGCTGAAGGCAGGGGGGAAATTTCGATATTTTGTCTTTCGCAAGACGGTTTTTCTTTTTTCTTCTGATTTTCCGATAGTAAAATGCTAGCTTCACGACTCGAAATTAGCTAGAGCTTGGGTCTCTTTGGATCCGGATACAGCGCGGCCAGAAACCCCCAAACTGATCATGAACAGAATCTAAAAACTTCATTTTCATATTTAAAAATCTTTATTTGTAATTTGGTCGTAAAAACGGCTATTGCACGATTTTCTCATAGGGAGCCAGGTCCCGCGCGTTTCGGCGAGGGGGGAGGAGCGCACGGGGCGGGGGGGGGTAGTCCGAAGTCCGCTTGCTTGCGGCTGGTTTTGTAAATAAGTTTAGTCTGTCCCAAAAAATTAAAATCCAAAATTCTGTTATTTTTCGGAAGTACATATGTATTTTTTTCTGGATTTTGAAGACCTTGGAAATTGAGCAGGCTCTATAATATGAGGCTCTTTACTGCACATCTTGAACAAGTTTATTCGGCGTAAAAAAATCAGGTAATTTTCTGAATCACGTACGCACCCCGGGCCATAGTTCTAGTCCGATAAACGATGTGAATTCGCTGCCCATCTTTCCGGACATGCTCCTCGAGTCGTGCATGACCAGTATTCCCTTCTATCCGTATCTCTTCAAAATCTCGTGCTCCACTCTTCCACTGGGCGACTAGAGCATCGATAAAGGGTTGTATTTTTTCATTTTGATCCCAGTTGACCGTCACGACAAATATGGGGCACTTCAACTCGAGCGCCAGTATTGGATCGAAAAAGTTCGACAGTACTAGCGAGCGTATGTTCTCGTTTGCGTAGTGAATTAGATCCAGCGTGATTTGACGACTCCAGCAAAACCAGACATGTTGAAATTTCTGGGTCTTCGGCTTCAGCTTCTCGAGTAGCTTTATTTTGTCCTCATCTTCATATGGACGATGAACAGCCAACACGTAAGTTTTCAATCCGTTCGGAATTTCATCGACTTCAAGCTCCCGAATTATGAGGTCGTTGACGGTGGTGCCGGAAAGCAATAGGTTTCTGGTACGCTTTGTATTGAAGTGTACCCAATTTTTGTCATTGTCCGGCTCGAAAATGTCGGTCCTATTTTGTTCAAACTCAACTCTCTTGTATCTGTATCGATTATCTGAAGAAGCCTCGGTCATCTTCCACAAAAATCGGCATGTTCTGGCGAACCGGAATCGCGTCTTTGGATCGGCACTGCCGACAAAATCCAGCAGACGTCGGTGGAAGTTGATAGGCAAATTTGTGAAATCCATGAAGGCGTGTCAGGGCCTGGAATTTTTTGCATAATTTTTATTGCAAGAAAGTATCGATAAATGAACCAAGGATTTGAAAATAGAATGAATTTATCTACAGTAAGAAGCAAGCTGAAACGGTTTCGAAAAGGACAATTGGTCAGCCACGAAAAAATGCGGGAGAGCCAGAGAAGCAGTTTGGGGCGGGTGAGTCTTAGGGTTGTCCACTATCGATTTTGCCTGGAGCCGAGAGCAAAAAATTTCGGCAAGGCGGGAACTTACGGCTTAGCTATTTTTTAAAAATAAATTTTAGGAGAATTACCGAAACGCCAATGCAAAGTTATTGGAACTGGTGACACCAATAATTTCTTTTCCCGCCAAAACAGAGTCTCACGGCCCACTGCATCATTTTCACTTATCTGCGCCGCTCTCATTAGTGTGCTGGGACAGGCAAAAATGTTTGAGTCTTGAATACTTGCTAGCAAGACCCTTATGATGGTCGCAAAATGCTAAAGATGGCGCAAGAAACAAATTACATTTTTCGATTTTTCGTGTATGTAGCGTGTATTTGCGAATATTGCGTTCCACCGCAGGTTAATTTTTGATGGACTGTGTCTATTCCGGTGGTGAAATTAACTGTGCATTGGACTCTGTAAAGAGACGTACTTTATTAATAAAGATTATCCGAGCATGCAAATAATCGCCGTCAGAACGATGAATTTCCGTTGAAAGCAAGAAAGTTGCGCACCGGGCGGGGGTCGAACCCGCGATGGTCCGCTCCAGAGTCCGACGCGCTAGCCACTATACCGCAGGGCCAAGTGGGGAAGGGATTCAGAGGCGCCCCAAACCCCAGAGGGTCTTTGCCCAATACGGGACACCACTAATGACGACCCTCTCTGCGCGTTCTTGGGGGCCGCACCCTCGGGGTGACAGTGCGCGTTCCATCGTTCTGGTAGTCTTTAAACCCTTCGCATATCGTAGACGAATCCCGATCAGAGGCAAACAGGCCAGTCAGATTCTTCTGGTTCTGACTGATCCCTGACATTCCGTTTCAAGCCTTACTTCATTATTCAGCGACCTTCTGAAGCGCATAATAGCTGAATGATGACGTCAATGGGCTACTTTTATACGTTATCTGAATGCGCTGCCCATCTTGTCTCTGATATTCCTCATCACGTGGAGGACCATCCCCCGAAAAATATATCGTCACGTCGCGAATGTCCCTGGCCCCGGCCTGCCACTCCAGTACCATCTGATCAAGAAATGGTTGTATCTCCTCGTTTTGGTCCCTCATCGTGTAGATGGGAAATTCCGGACACCGAATCTCCAGCCACAGCGCTGGAGGTAAATTTGCGTATAGCATAAGTGATTCTGCATTCTCGCTGGCGTACTGAAGAAATTCGAGGTCACCGTCGTGGAACTCGACGTGCTGATATTTTCCGGAGTGCGGCTTCAGTATTTCAAGTAGATGTATTTTTGCATTATCGGCGTCAAATTCTCGAATGCCAGCAACGGAAAGTTCTAAGGTTTTCAGACCGATGGGCAACGTGCTTGGCAGCTCATCAATTCGAATTCTGGCCACCGTCGTCTGCCATAACAAGAGGGCTTGGATTCGAAGGTTTGTTAAGGGGTAAATTTCCACCGGCCCGTGGTCAAGGATGATCTTATTCCTTTTAATGACAATCCTGTAGTCGGTCAGATTATTTTTGGTTTTCTCGGTCATGTCCCAGAGCCATCTGCATGTTTTCGCGTATCGGAAGCGGGTCACTGGATCCCCGCTTCCGATATATTTCAGAATCAGTTCGTGGACTGGGATAGGCAAATCGAGGAACGCTGGGGCATCTACCTGAAATAAAAACGGAATTTATTGTAGGCATTTTTGTATATATTTTAACGGTTTTTCATTACTGAGAAAATCATTAAAAATTTTAGCCCTTTTGGCCAAAAATCAAAATTTAGAACAATGATAATTCTCTATGAACTTTCGCGACTTAACAACTACGTAAAAAGCTACATAAATGGGGGGTTTGCAAACTAGTTTATAAATAATAAACATTCTTGAAGCGCTTACCTTTCGAAAACTTAGTATTTCTG